CAAGATCTGTAATAACATGAAGCAACTTGAGACTTGGGAAACAACAATGCAATGTTGCAGGAAACCCAAAAATTTCACTAAAAAGCCCAATTATATTTGGAAGCTTAGTCATTATATATTCGTAGCAAACCAAGCTCAAATTCATGAGTAGAGTGCAAAATGAGGAGTATGAAAATTCACATTCATACCACGCCAAAAGGAATGATAATTCATAATTCGGATATTCGAAAAAATTCACACTAAGCCCATGCAAAACCATGTGTATTGATCATGCCAAGCCAAATTGAAATAAGTTCATAATGTTAATACATTAATAGTTTAATTTGAAACACACCAAACTGCTCTTCACACAACACACTTAAGTGGGCCAAGCCAGATAACGAAGATTACCAAGCGGGTTGTGGCGTGAACGGTTACGAAAAGTTCATTGGGCCTACGTGCTTGTGGAGATTTTGGGCTACTTGGGAGAACCAAAATCAAGGCCCACAACTCTAATTTCACACGGGAGGTTATGAGAGATATCCCAACCCCTTTCCTTACAAACCAACCAAAATGCTTCAAACACAACCAATTTGCCTAGATTTATGGGTTGACAAAGTCTGACCTTGGGGCGCACACCTCATTTTAACTTGGTGGACGAACTTTACCATTTGAAGCTCGCGCAAGAAATCAAGGAAGAAAATGGAGAAGGTAGCCAAAGATGGAGCGGGATTTGGTGCAAGCAAAGGGAAATTTTGGGCAAAATGATAAACTTAGCCTTCACAAAGCTACTAACTCTCTACAGTACTATCCCAAAGAGGCATGATGCGGCTTCAACAATGGAAAAGAGAAAGGAAATAAAAATCCATGGAGGAATAATCCAACTCAATCAAAGTTGTTGAGGCATTTCGTCAAACAGGTTAGGGACAACAATTTAGCACAAACAAGTCCCTGGAGGAATATACAATATACTCTATCTTCCAAGTGCTAAATTTCACAAACCATAAATTAATTCCAAAATTTACCTGATTTGGGGGAGAACCGATGAACAGTGAGGTCGAAAAAGAAATCAGCGATGTGGGAGGAAGTGAAGGATGAGAGGTGAGTCACTTGTCTGATGTGGGAGGAGGAGAGAAATCGGCTCACTTCTGTTCGAGGAACAGAACTAACAGCTCCTTGGAGAACAGAACTAACATCAGAAGTGGAGGAGCTGCGATGTTGCTCCTTAGAGAACAGAAGTGAGTTAAAAAATTCTTGGAGGGTGAGGTTGAGAGAGTGAGTGAGTTCGAGGAGGGTGAGGAGGGTCTGAGATTTGAGGGATGAGAGGTGAGCGTCCAAACTTGGACAAAGTGAGGGATGAGAGATGAGCATCCAAACTTAGAAAGGAAATAAAATTTGAAATTTGAAAAAAAAAAAAAAAAAAGCGCCTATTTTTTACTATTGCACCTAGGCCTGGCAAACGGGTCGTGTCTGTCGTGTTCGTGTCGTTTTCGTGTAACACCTATTATCTTAACGGGTCATGTCGTGTCACACCCGTTATCTTAACGGGTCCTTAACAGGTCGGGTCACTTTACCCAACGGGTAAAGTGACCCAACCCGTTATGACCCGCTATGACCCGTTAAGAAAAATGTTTTTTTTTTCTTAAATTTGCATATACCACACATTGCCACATAAATATTACTTCAAAATATTAAAACACATTTGTAGTTTAAGTACTACATCTACACTTGAAAATAAAAGCCTAATAAACAAACATTCATACATTGCTAATCTATTACAAAATATTAAATGTGCAATGATATGCAAAATGAAAGAGTTTTTGTTTTAAAGGTTGTGAAGCCTTTCTCAAAAGTTTAAACCTTGCCAATGGAACTCAAAGCTTGCATGTTATTCCTTTTACAAAATCCTCAATTTTCTTCGATCATCATGACATAAGATTTTGTGGTATCCACTAGTGTAAATATTTTAAGTTGAATATCAAATTCATCTTTGAATCTTTGTTTTTTGCGATTTTTGGCGTATGCGATCTTGAAGCATATACAAACAAGTTTGACGGTTGGATCATTAAAATTCTTTTCGTAGAATGCGTATCCCATCAAAACGATAAGCATCAATAAATGTAGCAAATTTTTTGTCATACGTATCAATTGGTATTTTCAAATATGAATCCAGGGAAGATTGATAATGTAGCGTGCAACTTCTACAAACCTCAAATCCACATCCTCGACTTTGACACATACAACCACAATATAACAAGAAGCATATGAATATATATCAACCACCCCAACTATCTATATGTAAAGGAAATTGACATACTCGTCCCCTTGCGAAGACCATCATGAGACTTCTCAAAGACAGCTTTTGTCATCAGCCTCAAGCCGGAGGTTAAAGCGCCTGATGCAGCCAAACCAGCAAAGAATGACTGCAAAAGCAGAACATTAAATTACAAACAGAAGTTGTCATAATCATTAACGAACTTTGGAAAAAAAAATTTGATAAAGAAGATTACAAACATAACCAGGAGATTTATAAGTTCCTTTTTCAGTTCATAATTTCTTATCACAAAAGTATGGCCATGTTTTATTTTTCACTTCCAATTGTCGGTATTCAAAATGTGATGTGCATAGTTAGCATCGAATGTGTAGAGTGATGGATAACGGGGGAAGCAATTGCATTGGTCCAATATGTCCAAGCAACAAGGAGATACATAGGAAATTGATCGGTGAAACTTTGGTTGCACAAAAGAAACTGTAAATTGTATCATGATATTACCTCATCGACTAAACAACTTTCAACCAGAACCAAAAATCAATCTGAGTTTTTAGAGATCACCTGCAATTTCAGAACCTCTGAAATCAGATTCATAGCCATCTATAGTATAATACAAGGAAATCAAGACACCACAGGTAGATGATAAAGAAAAATGTGAGGGTACGTAGTTGATAAGTAAGACTGATGAAAATGCATATTATAAGCTTACCTCTAGTATTAATGCTTTGGCATGCTCTTCCCACTCAGTAGCCCACCTCCCAGACGAAGCCATTTCCAATGCACCATTCCTGAGAACCTTCAAGGAATCACATACATTTGGAAAACCCTTGAACAACATCTGTACAGGTTATAAGAGATATTATCACGAAGACGGTGCACCAAACAGTCATCCAAAGTTTTGAGTCGTTGAAGTTAAGCAAATTACGTTAATATTGCAGTGGTTAGTCTACCATGCATATTAGTTTCATCTATTAACCACCATGAAATTCACAAAGAGGACATTCAAGGCATAGGTGATTATGATTTTCTTAGGCTGATTGAATGTTGTTCTTGAATGGCAATACAAAATTCCACAAGTAGAATGAAAGGATTTTGAAATTGTAGTTTATAACACAAACATATGCAATGAAAGTCAACAGGAAGGCCCCGAAGATAGAGCCTTGAATTTTCCCCTAAAATCGTATCAATGTAAGGGATGTTAGTACTTTAGTGCCAAATCTGCAATTTTGAACGATGTGAGCTATTTTGAATCCTACAATTCTATACAATTTATTTTCTGGATTTTCAAAATTGTTACATTAGTGACATACCAAGACATTGAGAGCAGCCAGTGTTGCCATTCCTTCACGAGTTCACTACAAAAATCAAAAAGCTCCTCGTTTGATAAGGTAACAAATCTTTATGTTCTTAAAATTAGAAAGCTCTTTCCCTAATGTGTTTGAACTAATATGGACGGTAATTACCTTGGAAGCGGAAGCAATGTGACGTACCACAACAACATTTTTCAAGTCGGCAAGCCCAGGCTTCATGTAAGGCTCATCCTAATGCAACTTCATTCACAAACCACTCAAATATCAGAGATAGCGTTCGAAAAAGGTTGAATACAATAAGGAATTAGGTGTGGTTTTTTACCTCGAAGACATCCAAGCCAACTCGAAACATGCGTGTATCTCTCACATTCATTTATACAAATATACAAGATGATAAGTGGTCTTATCCAGAATTAGGTGAAGGCTTATCTAGAATAAGAATTGGAAACCACACAATTAGAAGCGGTTTAAGTAAAACAAAAAAATAGGGGTAAGGAGAGCGAGAGCCATACCACATCTGCTTCTCGGAGCATCTCCTCCATGTTTGATGCTGTTTTCCAAGCCATCCATCATATAAGCCGGCCCTCATAAACTCATCCACTTCAACTATTCTTCTGGCGGCCGATACTGCTGTAGTTTCTACTGTTGATAAGTCAAGACAATGTTTTTCTAAAGTATTGTGCTTGAAATGCTTCTCTCTAAATTTAACAGTACAAAAGACTTATATGTGAAAAAAGCCAAAAAATATAAAGAAAGTGAAAAACTTACAGGTGTGTTCCCAACAGCAACTCTATACTTGTTCCCTGTTATGACTTTAAACATGAATTTCAAAGAATGGGAAAAAAGGTAGAAGGTGAGTTTCATACGATTACATCACCAACAATAATTCTCGTTATCCTCTCGCTATCCTTTACAAGTTTATATTAATCCTCATCCGAACTATAATAATAACTCTCGCTATCCTCGCTATTATCATTTTCGGATTCCCATTCGTCTTCATCTTCGTTTGCCTCTTCCAGTGCATTGTATTGAGGCAGATCACCAAGGTCAATTGATATTTCGAATTCGGGAACTCCAGGTACGTCAAACGGTTCTTGGACAATATTAGTATCCCGGAGTGTTTCTTCACCAATTTCTATCGAAGATGATAACTGTTGGTCAGCGACGTTGTCGTCATTGTCATCATGATCTACTTCTGGAATATCATATAGCCCTCTTCGATCAATCTTCTGAACAACTTTCCAACCATTGTCGGCTTTAGGGTCGTCTAGATAGAATATTTGTTTCGCCATTGTTGCCAAAATGTATAGGTCTTCATCGTACCAATGTCTCGTAGTGTTTACTGATAGTAGACCATGGTCTCGCTTAACACTTGTTCGGTTATGTGGGTTTGTATCAAACCAAAGACACTTAAATAGTATCACTTGACACTTGTCTTTTTAAAGCAATTGTACTACACTAGTTAGTTTGCCATAAAAATCAATGTCTTCATTGTCGCCCGCACCCGGGACATGAACACCACTATTTTGAGTAGACAACTTGTCATCACGTGTTGCCCCCAAGAACTTGATCCCGTTGACATGACAACCTGAGAACAATTCAACGTGAAGCGGTCCTCTCGCCAAGTTATATAATTCTTCATCGTAAGAGGGTGAATTCAAGGCCTTCAATTTGTTCATCTAATATAACATATACAAAAAGTTAACCTGTTAGTGTAACCAAATTTAAAGACGGGCATGAACAAGTTGGAAAATATGCTCAATTCAAACCACATACAACTTACATGTGTGTGAAACCATGAAGGAAACAAGTCACGGTGCTTCTTGGCATATAAATGTGAAGGATGTTCCCGCTTCATCAATTGTTCATGCTCTTCAAGGTATGGCAAAGCATCATCACAATTGTTGAGTATGAACCAATGTGCTATCTCCATGTCCTTTTTGGTAAATGATTCACCTTTTAGAAGATCGCCGAATGGTCGCGCAGTTTGGGCAAAAACAGACAGTTTCTCTTTTCTGACACCACTGTCATTATTGCGTTGAGGACGATTGAAAGTTATCTCAACATCTTCAAGATACATTGCACAAAAAGTAAGTGACTCATATGCAACCCATGCCTCCACAAGTGATCCTTCGGGCTTTGCCCTGTTTCAAACACACTTTTTCAACTCACCAAGATATCTGCACAAATAAAAGGTATGCTACAAATTATTCAAAGTGTTTGTTGATCATGAATCTGTTATATATATAGACGCTTAATTAAGTACCTTTCTATTGGATACATCCATCGATAGTTCACTGGTCCGGCAAGCAATGCCTCATCTGGCAAGTGAATCATACTTGTAAAGAAAGCTGGGGGAAATATCTGTTCGAACTTGCATAAAACATTCACAATGTCGTCCTGCAATTGTTTAACATCCGACTTCCGCAAACACCTTACAGTCAATTGTGAAAAAAATCTCGACAACAACACGATTGGTTTCACCACATCAAGAGGCAATAAGTGTCGAATACCAACCGGAAGAAGGCGTTGAAGTATCACATGACAGTCATGACTCTTCATGTTTGAAAATTTACACCCCCTCATGTTCACGCAACGCGAGATATTAGAAGCATACCCATCTGGAAACTTTACAGAAGAAATAAAGTTGAAAAACTCTTTTTTCCCATTCGGCTTAACTGTAAAAAAAGGATGGCCTTTCTTCAATGTACCACCAACTCTCTTCATCCACAAGGATGACCTAATGCCCATTCGTTCCAAATCGAGGCGAGCTTCGATCGTGTCCTTCGTTTTTCCTTCAATGTCTAGAATTGTCCCGACCAAAGTATCAAACACATTTTTCTCAATATGCATAACATCGAGGTTGTGTCTCATTTTTAACTTTGACCAGTACGGGAGCTCAAATAACATACTCTTGTGCGTCCAGTTCAGATGTATAGTTGGTCTGGGCTTACTGACCCCTTTGCCGAAATGACCAAATTCCAAACAGTTTAATTGATCCAAAATCTCATCTCCGAACCATTCTCTTGGTCTTGGCCGAGTCTCTTTCGTGCCATGGAAAGCTTTATCGTTCTGACGCCACTCGTTGTCCCAAGGAAGCCATCTACGATGACCAAGATAACAAACTTTTCTTGCATGCCAAGAAGATGTTACGTTCTCCTTGCATATTGGACATGCCAAATAACCTTTAGTCATCCACCCAGAAACCATTGCATATGCGGGAAAATCGTTTACTGTCCACATCACTGCCGCTCGCATGGTAAACATCTGCCCAGTATACTTATCGTACGTACAAACACTGTTTTCCCATAAATCTTTTAGCTCATCAACCAACGGCCGCAAATAAACATCAATGGACTTTCCTGGATCTTCAGTAATTAATAGAGTCAACATCATGTATTCTTTTTTCGTGCACTTCCAAGGCGGCAGATTATAAGGAAATACGACAACCGGCCAAGTGCTATGGATTTGATTTAAAACTCCGAACGGATTAAATCCGTTGGTGGCAAGTCCCAATCTGACGTTGCACGGGTCAGCTGCAAAATCAGGGTACATCCGATCGAATTCTTTCCATGCCTCTCCATCATCAGGATGCCTCATAACATCATCATTTACTCGTCCTTCTTTATGCCATCTCATGTCGGTTGCGGTATGCATCGACATGTACAATCGCTGCAACCTAGGCTTCAATGGAAGATAACACATTACTTTTTGTGGAATCTTGGTCTTTCTATTCTGTGATGTCATTTTAAACCTCGGCTCATTGCAGACAGGGCATTTATCCAACTGTTTGTTCTCTTTGTAAAACAATATACAATTATTTACACATGCGTGAATTTTTTCATACCCCAATCCGAGACCCTTCAACATTTTTTGGGCACTTTTATGATCTTCAGGTAAACAATTCTCCTTTGGAAGCATCCTCTTGATAACTCCAAAAAAATAATCAAAACACTTGTTTGACAAACGAAACTTGATCTTGCCATGCATCAACTCCACAATTGCTGTGAGCACCGAAAAGTTCTCGCAACCCGGATATAATTCTTGCTTTGCATTTTTCAATAGTTTTTCATAGTTTTTGAATGCCTCACTATCCATGGTTGGACAACCGTCATCTCCCCCTTCCTGATTGGTGTTACTCGAGGCATATGGATAAACGTCATTTAGAATATTCATAACTTGTTCATTATGATCCACATTAGATTCAACAGTCTCCACTCGTGTCACGTATGAAGATGAAGCTTGATCTAATCGTTCTCCATGATAATACAAAGTAGTATACATCTCCATCATCCCATTTCTTACTAAATGAAATCGAACATTCGAGAATGTCTCCCACATTGAGTTGTTACACCTCCTACACAGACATCGAATATGAGTTGAACCTATGTTATGTCTAGTTGCGAATTCAATGAACTTTTCTATTCCATCCAAGGACTCAACAACACATCTATTATGATTATGTATCCACTGTCTGTCCATTTTGTCTGCAATCCCAATAAAAGTACAAGAATTATAACAAATTCAACTATTGTCTTGTCACCTTATTCCTCCGGTAAGGGCCCTATCCCATTCAGGAATGCACAGTTATGTGCCGTAATTTACGATTCCAATGGATTAAATTTTGACATGGGCTAATTTTGGCAGCATCTCCTTATAGTTCTTCAAGTGCACGCCGTAGATACATAATATCCACCGTGTACTAGAAGAACATCAGGAAATGTTACCAAAATTTCCATTATCGAAACCTAATCCATGAACCGCAAACTACAACACATAACTATGCATTCCCAAACTGTCCAAAAAATGGGACAATTCAAGAATTAATTGGACCACAGTCATGCTTTCGCATCCATGCACGAAATCCAACTAATTCTCAAACGGGAAACTAAGCTTTTCTTGAAAAAAAAAATTGTACGAAGTTAAGTAATATTAACTTCGTACAACACAAAACAATTTTGCAGGTGATGTACAAAAATATGTGCATACAAATAAACTAAATCACAATAATTACTAAAACTAAATAAAATAAAATAAATTAATAAAAATTAATATAGCGAAGAAAATAAAGTGATTTACGTACACTGTGACATCTCAAATCTGAATTGCGGCCAAACCTACAACTCCTCCACCACCCACAACTAACAGCCGTTGGCTGTAAAGATAAGATGCAATAACAAAAGGATGCAAAATTGTTAATGACAGCTTCCACCGAGATAAGATACAATAATCAAATCCCTACACCAAAATAATATAAAGCTTCAGCTGCCTCTCAATCCATGTTTCTCAAAGACACAGCATCAAAAATAATTTTCATACTTTCTTTTATACCTTTTACCTAAAAAATGCTGGGAAGATGGTAAAAGTTTGGACACAAAAGTTCAACATCTCTAGTATAGTGAAACAAATTTCATTACTGAAAGAAACATTACCCCCATGTGAAAACGACAACAGCTTTTGCAATCGAAAAAAAGAAAGAAAATGACAATGGCTTCCTGATGACAACAACTTTAACAGAAGAATCATGATACATCAAAGGAAGGAAGTTAATATCCGAGATAACATACCCCTTAGCTTTCCTAACAGTACTTACGAGAGCTCGCCAAGCAGTCAGAGAAGCAAAAGGAATGGCACTTGCTTCCTAGAATCACAGAGTAAGATAAAGCCAAATTGAGTTGTCACACAGCAATAACAGGAATGAGAAGTTAAAAACTCTCATCTACGTAACATCTCACCATGAATTCCTAACATCTCACCATTGTTGCCAATTCTTTCATGAATTCCTAATAACAGAAATCATGAAAGAATTGATAATAATGGGTGTAGAAACAGAAAAAAAAAAATCAACAAAGGATTCGATATTTCCTCTTATTGCTATCTGTCCATTTCCACAAAGCAACGTGCTGCTTAATAATTGTAGCTTGATTAACTCTGAGTTCCATTTCATATCAAGTAGTTTCTACTCCAGTTCATCCAACCAATCTAAGCTAAAAAAAAACAGTTTTTTCTTCTTTTTCAGCTGAGCAAGGTGGAAAATTCAAATTAAAAATGAATTAATAAAAAATTTAAGCTCCAAATGTACATTATTCAAACAAATGAACACAATCATACCACTAACACACTCAGAAGCATCATTACATTATAAAAGCAGCTAAATAACTAGAAAAGTATGCGTGTGTGTGTGTGTGTGTATTGCTACAAATTTTCAAGTTATATTGCTACAAATGAACACAAACATTACATTATATTGCTATAAATTTTTAAGTTTTGTTGGAATTGGAGGAACGAAACAGAGAGAGGAGCAAAAAATAAAATGATCATTTCCCTCATTTTCTCCGCAAACAAACAGAACTTAGAAATGGGATCAATCTAAAAACAAGGTGAAATTTGACTCACTTTGATATCAACGGGATTGATTGGAAAAGGTTTTGAAGAGAGATGGGGGAGGGAGGTAGCTGCTGCAACTGGGTTTGCAGTTTCTGCCTCCCAAACTGATTAAGTGGAGTAGGAAAAGTCGTTGACTTTGCGCGACGCCAGTCTTGTCGCGCAAAGTCAACTTTGCGCGACGCATGTGTACGTACGTCGCGCAAAACAACTTTGTGCGACGCATGTGCACATGCGTCGCGTAAAGTTGGCAAAAAAGCGGTAAAACATTCTTTGTTTGGCGCCAAGATATTGCGCGACGCACAAAACGTCGCGCAAACGGCATTTGCGCGACGAAGGCTGGCGTCATGCAAAGTGTTTTGCATGACGCACAAGTTCCTGCGTCGCGCAAAGAAGTTTTGCGCGACGCTAGAATTTCGTTGCGCAAAGTACCGTCGCGCAAAGGTTGTTTGCGCGACGCTTTGTCTTTTTAGGTCGCGCAAACATGTTTTTCTACTAGTGAATAGACATCCGTTACTCACTTGAATGGGTAATTATGCGTGCAAGTATCCAAGTGCACACGCAATAAACGTGTCCATTAATATGATTGGTCTCTCAAAAAAAATTGTTGCTCTCTTTAGTAAGATGGAGATGAGTGCAGGCAACAGCTTAATTAATTTTCTGTTAAGCTTTAATTTTCAATCAGATTAGATAATATGCTATATTTCTTTTACCAACTTCACAGGGTAGCTCAATCTGTTACTCCTAGTGAAAGGTGGGTCCAATCCATTCCAATTTGTACAGAATTTTAACAACTCGAAAGGGTTTAAGCATCGCTCGAAAGGGACTCGAATTGTTCTAAATCATGAGAAAAAATGGTCAAATCTATTTGGGTCTATGCGTGGCTAAGGGGTTTGTGTGTGAAATACAATATTTTAAAAGGCAAAGGCACCAAATGGGTAGAAAATTTATCAAACTCATGAACCGGAAAAATGAAAAAAAAAAAAATTGCAAAAACCTAATTAATCATCCTACATATATGAACAATAATAAAGAAAATAGAATTGTGTTTTGCTTACGTAATGGTGATTTTTCCGTAGATATTAGGGAGACTTTTGCCAACAATCTCATCCAAGCATTACATACCCCATCGGCAAACTAAGAAGATATTTCATTGTTTTTGTTATTGGCTTAAAGTCTGCAGGTAGCTTGTTTTACAACTAGGGTTTTTTTTTTTTTTTTTTTTTTTTGGTCAAACGATAGATTTGTTAGATTGGGGAGCCGATGAAGTTTAAACTCATGTCGTGATGCAAGGGCAACACTCCTCTCCACAAATAGTTAGGGTTTCTTTCATTTTTAAAATTTATTTTTAATTTTCCATATTTTATGTTTTTTCAGTCTTATTTTTTGTCATTAATCTCTACTAATTAATAAAACACTCATTGTCAACCAAAATTATCAGTTTAACCCTCTAATTAAAACAGAACATGAATAAGAAATATGAGGTAGAAATGTAATTTCACACAACCAAATTTTGCTATTTTTTTTTTCAAAGTGTCACCTACATGTGATGTTAAAATACCTTCAATATTTTTTTAAAAAAATTAATTTAAAAAAAAAGACCAAAAACAAAAACCTCCCACTCCCCCCACATTCTCTCTCCCTCTCTCTCTCTCTTTCTCTCTCTCTCTCATTTTCTAAAAAAATGCGTTCATACACACAAAGTGTGTAGGTAAATGCTAGTATTAGTTAAAATCCCCATAAGCATCCATGTCATTTCATGAATAAATAAGAACCCTTTGATGTTATGAAATCTAAAGGCTACAAGGAAGTGTAAAAATATTTGTAAGATATGTAGAGTCTTAAAAGGAAAAAAGGAAGATAACATAACGTCTTTTTAATAAAAGAATATATTGCCACTTAGTACTATAGTCTAGCGATATTCCTCTTTACTTGTAAGTGAGAGGTCTTAGATTCGATTCTTGCCAAAGGTGAATTTGAACTATGCTAGCCCATTGTGAGGCTTAGCACCGTAGCCCACTCCCTCACCCTCTTAGGGCTAGTTTAGTAGTATTGTGCTTTAAAAATAAATAAATTGTTATGTTGTGTTGTGAGATTAAATAGCTTAAAAATATGTAAAAACGGTTTTAACAAAAATAAAAATAGCGTCCGAGTATTTGGTAACTTTTAGACAAACTGCTGAGAATATGTTAAAAGACTAAAAAATAATAATATTTAATGTGAAATATTAAATTGTCAAAGAAAATAATGTAAGGGCAATAATTATAATTTTATAGAATATGTGGGGGTATACTTGTCATTTAAAAATTTATTAAATGGACTGATTAGTATGAATCTAAAATATATGGTACATATGTCAAATTATGGAGAAACTCTAAGGTCCGCGAGTCGGACCAACTCACCTACAGACCCAGACACAAAAATCTTCCCTTTACCTCATCCCCTATTTTGTCATGTTAACCTGGACCACTTTTGATCCATCACTCTCTCACACCACCCCCAATCCAGGTGCCGTACACAAGAACATCTCTTAATTGTGACTTGTTTGCAAAGGAGGAATGACCTAGTATTTCTCGTTAGAAGAAGGTTTTAGTTTTCCAAATATCCCCTTTCTTAAATTTCCCAAAAAAGACACTTTGATAATTTGTTGAATAATAGAAAGGGGTGTGATATCCACACACCCATTTTTATTTCTTCCACACATTTTTAGTTTTCGACTGTCGGATCAGATGAACTGAAAAAGATCAACAGACAGAAATTAACAAGGGTGTGTGAGAAGTAACCCCTAATAGAAAATAACAGCGAAGCAGGCTCCTATGGTGAAGAAATTCTTAGGTCCGGACAATCGGACCACACAAGGCATGTGGCACTTCTCACAAGTCACAAATACAACGGGATCCCCAGATGCCAGATTACGGTCCCTGCGAAGTTGGTTCCACTCGGTTGTCTGATGCCATATGCAGCCTCCGCACAGAATGATGGCTCTGACAGAACAAATTGAATACTATGTCCTATCAAAACCTACAAACATATATGCAAGACACCCTACCATACACGCAACATGATCATAACGAAGCAATGCACTTGCAAGTTGCATCTCTCTGTAATTTTTCATTACCAAAATGAAGAACGGAAGACGAGAACTTGTGAGCAACACAGCTAATTGATCAATAAACCCCACAAAAAAAAAAAAAAAAGAAAAAAAAAGCGCATTCTACTTGTTGATACATCTGATAGAACAAACACAAAAGTCTAAGATCCAAAAAAGATTGTACAAAGATTAAGAACAGAAAATCCCCGACATTGCAACTACTGATGGAAAAAAGTTCCGACCGACATGTGTAACAACAGCTTTTCGTCACAACAGAAGTTCATATAGCTTGTTCCATCTCTTTATTCTGTCTGACTAATGTCCATAGTTCTGCAACCGACTGCATGTACATAACTATATATCATAACAGCAGGAAAGGCGTTCAACCATCATCTACCATGACCAATACGCCTTCAGCCATCATATGCATCGATCAAAAGCCAAAAAGATAATTTAGTAAATATCTAATGAGACACCACTCTATCGTTACGGTTCTTCTTCGAGAAGGTATTACCACAAATGACCTGAAAAAACATGAAAAATATGAATAAGCTTTTTTCTAACTTGCTGGGTGGGTCGAATAACTCAACCTTCACAAGGATGAACTCCGACTAGTATATGCATGTATATTAGAGTACAACATGGATAACCAGAATACTCAAATATGAAATGAAATAGTACCTCTGCTTTAGTTTGTTGATCATCCTTTCTATGGCAATTCTCAAAGAAGTTCAAACAAGCATGTTCTACAAGATTCCTACGCTGGCACCCAACAAGAAGAAGCATACACAATTCGGCCCTTCCATCCTTGAAGCATCCAATCGCTATCTTGATCAACTACAAAATCTTTGTGGTACCATGCCTTCACCTTATCCTTAAGGATCTTCACTAAATCTTGGTCCAATTGCAACGGCTGTAAACCAGCCCTCATGCATCGAACCTGCCACTGCTTATATGTCTCAGGCCTCTCAACCCTCTCTACGCCCTCACATGCTATTACATTCATAGCTTCCCTGCCATAGAACTCACTCTCAAACCCCAACCTCTCTTCATTGTCACGGGGTATATTAATATCAAATGCATCATACAAGGAAGAGTAGTGGAAGAGAGCCTCCCGGAATCGAGTGACAAAGAAAGGCGCATTGTAGGAACCATTGATAATAGAGTGGACAAAAATATCAGGTTTCATCTTTCTGATTAGATTTAGAACAGCATCCCTCGGACAGTTCTCTTCAACGGTCTCATCAAGTAGGTTCTTGAACCGTAACATACAGTTCACAGCAAGCACCTCGTTCCTTTCAGTCTTGAGGTCCGCCAGTTGGATGGATTCCCAATTTTGTGAAGCTACGGCATTGTACTCAAAAGGTACACCAAAACGCTCACAATATCTTCCCAAGCGACGTCCAGTCTCTTCAATACACTCTGCTGGACGAAACCCGGGTTGGGGAACCTCTATTCCAGTAATGCGTAGCTTTGGAGGTCCACCATGTCTCTTTGAAAGATGCTGGATGAGGATTGGCCACTGGAAACCATACAGGATACCAAAATCGACAATATGAAGGGTTGTTGCTTTCTCGGCCATCTTCAAAATCATCTTGTTTTTGAAGAGCATACACATTCTCTTGAAAGGGCAAGCTGAAAGATGGACTTGGTAAGATTTCAAAACATCAACAGCTGATGACCTTTTGGCAAGGGACGTATAAAACTTTTGGGTTCCGGTGCCAGTACCAGCCATACGAGCCTCAAGACCATTCGCAAAGAAGTGAGCCAACCTTTGAGATCCATCACCGTTAGGAGAAGCATGCTGCCTAACCTGCTTTAACAGTTCACTAGTGGTCCTAAAATCATTGGTAGACACAGCTTGTGCACATAAAATCAGGAGGTTCCGCAAATCCACAGTTTCCTTCTTCTTCCCTTGTTTCTTACCACGAGCCTTCCCTCCATTACCATTAGATCCTTGTGGCTGTCCACTTGGCTGCAAGGTCTTGCTTGCTTCATTCTTAAAAGCAACACTATCACACTGAGATTCATTATTTCCGCCAGTAGACAGCAACACCTTGTCAAACATCTCAGACAATTCACTCTCTTCAGTCTTTTCTATATAAACTGCAGACTGCTTGCTACTCCTCCCTTCTTCAAGATCAACATCTTCCCGCTCGCGATTCTTTCTTCCCTTTGACCCATTAGGTGAGTTCTTCCTCTCACTCTTTTCTTTCTTGACAGTAACTATCGGCACATTTGCTTTCACTTCTGGAGACACTGTGTTGCTTTCCAGATCAACAAGCAGCTGAGTGCTTTTCGGAAGGAATTTACTAGCTTCCTCTAACCCTCTCTGGAATTGCAAGATAGAATCACTGTCTGTAAATATATTCTGAGCCACAAACTCTTCTGCAGAGGAGCCCTGCAGCATATCACCAACATGCTGCCCATCACCGACACTAGTCATGCGATTTTCCAGAGGAACAGACAACTGTGAACTGGAATGTGAATTAAACTGGAAGGGGCTGTCATTGGGAAGGGAAGTTTGTGGAAAAGAAGGTTTTTGCTCTCCCGAATCACCAACCCATTGAGGATCAATGGAATTGCTAGTACCAGGACTAGAACTCCTATTACTACCACTACAATCACTACAATTCCCAGAAATATTACCATCAGGACTCTCAACATTCGGATTGATATGAAGGGGTTGCTGATTGGGTGAAAAGGGGTACTGTTGACCAAGAACATCATAGAACGATTTCTCAGTCACACGAAGACCCAACGGATCAAAGAACATGCATGGCTTTTTCTCTATGTTCTCTTCCAAAAGAATCTGGTTTGCGTATTTGAAAATAGCTTCAGAGAAATCACTGTCATCGGAGGAACTGTCTGCTCCTCCGACGCTCACAGTCGTAGGCAGAGACAATGAGCCTCCATCAGGTGGACTCAAACTCTTGGATGGAACAAATGACTCTCCACTTGTGGTCAAACTAACTTCAGGAACAATATTACCCTGTTCGAAATCGGGTGGAAGGGAAAATTGATTGTCCATAAAGTTAAGATCTGGAGAGAACTGGTTAAATTGGTATTCATTTGTGAGATTTGAGAATTGAGTTAAATCGGGTGAGAAGGCTAGATCATCAATACTGAAACCATTCAAGTAATCAGGACTTCCATTGACAGTTGGATGATCCATAACGATCACAGAAAAACACAATACCTGGGTACAATTCTAAACTCTAAAACCCTCTAAAACTTAAGATTCTACACACAAAAGAGATGAAATTTAAAGATTTAATCTCACAGACAAATTCAGAAGGAACAAAGCATGCCAGCAAGAACAAATCAGAAGCAAAACTGAAAAACCTCAAAAACCCATCAGAGTTTTTGCAGATTTATTGCACAGGAAGCAAAGGTTTTGAAGTGGAAGGCTCTAAGAACAAGCAAAGATCGAACCTTTACTGAATAGGATGACAAGAACAACATGAACAGAAAAGTACTGGCGTACCTTGAAGAAAAACGTTGAGACTTGAAAACAAAAGGCGGCGATCTCAGGTTCGGGGAACCAAACTAACAGCGCCGGTGAGGTTTTCTGATATTTATAAGCGTGTGGGGGCGAGCGGCGTCACGTACTTTCTTGGAGGAGCATCGCATGTGTCAGTCAGAGAGAGCCCTGAACTATTTTTGCAACCGGATGGATCGGTATGTGAATTAGTCATGCACGTGTTTGACTTTGCAACCATAGACATGGTCCCACTCTGGCCATTGTTTTTCTGTCGGTAATCTTTGTCCTTTTCTTTTGTTCCATCAGGTATTGTTTGGTATGCAGACGGGATGGGACGGAACGGAATAGGACAGGACAAGACGGGACAGGACGGAACGGAACGGAGCGGGAGTAAAGATGCCCTCGGATGGAAATAAGGAGGAAGAAGAAGGAGACGAAGAGGTTATAATTTTGTGTTCCACAAATGTGGAACGAGTCGTTCCAGGGGGGTGAGGTGGAACGAAAATTTACTCAAAACTCGTCCCGTGAAACAGCTCGTTCCACCCATTTTAGGCGCACCAATTACGTAGGACGGAACGCCTTGTCCCACTCTGTTCCGTCCCGTCCCACGTACCAAACGGTACCTCAGTGTTACAGAAGATGGTAATGGGACATGAAGAGTGGAAGATTCTTGAAATAATGTTCTTGACAGTTTACACTGAATAACTTTGCTTACTTTTGAGTGATTGGATCAGTTTTAAAATTATTATCTAACTAATTATAATAAATTGATTTGGTTTAGTTTGTTTGAACTAAATTTCTGACAAAGTTAAATTAATGTGAATGATTTGGATATATGTACATGGTCTTTTTTTTGTAGGAACCAATTCCAACATAAGACGAATTTGAACTCAAAGTTGACTTTAACTGAAGAAAATACACACAATCAATAAAAAATTAAATTCGCACTTCAATATCAACATAACAATTGCTACTTGTACATATCGTCAAAAAATCCACATAACATGATTGATCTAGAAAGCTACAAAGTATGTTGAAACAAATCCATCAAAACAAAAGCCCTAAACATAAGACCAAGAATACCACTTGCTTTCATGAGGAGCAAATATTGTTGTTAATAACCGGATAGACATTGACACTAAGGTAGAAATCAACACCAAAATCAAAAGTAGCATCCTAGATACCGCAATACCAACCATATCAAATGATAATTCAAAAAATACATTTAGAAAGAAAACAGAGAAGGAAGATGAGGATTGCTCGACTCATAAGCTATAAACTCATTCAAATGATAAAAACTTGCATACAATATGCCATGTTTGACTTTGGAAACATAGATTTGGCCCAACTCTGTCCTTTGTTTCTTTCAATAATATATGTCTTTTTCTTTTGTATTTCAGTGTTAACAGAATTTCAAAATGAGGCATAGAGAGTGGAAGATTATTAAAATAATGTACTTGACAGTTCATACTATACAACTTTGCATACTCGAATTGGATCGATTTTAAAATTATTATCGATCTAATCATAATTTGTTGCCAAAACCAAAATATTTTTTAATGATTTGGATATGTACGCAGTCTTTTTTTTTTTTTTTTTTTTTTTTTTTAAGAACCAATTCCACTAAAAGGCTAATTTGAACTCAAAATTGACTTGAACTAGAAAAAGTACACATAACTAATAAAATATAAAATTCGTGATTCAATACCAACATAACAATTGTTACTTATGCAGATCGTCAACAAGTCCACATAACATGATAGATCTATTGAAAGCAACAAGCTATGGTTGAAACAAATCCATCGCAACAAAAGCCCTAAACATAAGACCAAGAACACCACTTGCTTTCATGAGGAGCAACCCTCATTGTTAATAGCGGAATAGACATTGCCATTGAGGTAGAAATCACCACCAAAATCAAAAGTAGCGTCCCAGATACCGCAATACCAACCGAGTCGAATGAAAACTTGAAAAACAGATTTGGAAAGAGAATAGGAAAGGGAAGTGAGGCTTGCCCGACTCATAAGCTTATTCAAACAATAATATGTCTTGCATATCCATAATTATGTGAGTAGCACACAACCACGATATATAATACATTTAAATATGGGAATTGTTATTGGCACTGCAAAAATCTCATTCTACACTCCAAACTTTTTATATTTGTAAAGAAAAATACACTTGTGAGTAGTGTAGAATGAGATTTTTGAAGTGTCAATAACACTTCCCTTAAATATTACATATAAGTTTTTTCTCCATCGAAGTACATTGCTCTCTATTCTCTAAGCCAATATTGATGCCCATATTTCAGTCTACTCACAGTTTCACACCCATGCATACGTACAATTCTTTCACACTTTTAGTTTATTTAGATGTGAATTGTAATAGATCTTGGGTATTTTACAGGTTAGAGTTTGACATTCCAACCCTTGGAAAATTTTGAAAAATCCAATATTGTATGAGTCACATTTGTTTGCTTGGTTGAAACATTGACATGGTCAAACTAGCTCAAGGGTATCGGTGATCGAAAAGCCACCGGTTGCTCATAAGATATCTTGACTTGTGAAACAAGCCTCTGTCTTGAAGAGCACGAATGAACATTCCATTTCATCTTTTTATAATTAATTAACTAATAATTTCTTTAATCCCGTTCACATTATCATGATAATAACATTAAAAATTGATATGTCTTCTGACTGTGAGCTAATCGGGTAGAAAATAGAGGCTGATGATAACAGAAAAGGTAATGCTTTCCTTATTCTTTTATCAGAAGTAAACACAGAGTTTGCTTCTTAATCCCTCATGGTAAAGGTCAAAACATAATTGGGAATTTTAACGAAACACTTTCGGTATTGTTCACTTTTAACGAAAAACCATATTTTTACCTTTTCTTGATACTATTCACTATACATTTATTTGTCATTTTTCATTAAAACTGTAGTTTTTTTTGGATTTTTCATTAGTTTTCCTAGCATCTCACACGTTGCTTTGGCCTCAAGAATATGAAAAGATTTTTCAATGTACTCGAAACATGGGATGGTACACTACGTGTCATTATACAAGTGGTGAGACATTTGTGTTAAAAAATTATTAACAGCTTAAAAAATAAAACTTCCTCCACTAATATAATAATGTATCACTCATGTTTAGGACACAATAAACAATTTCTCCAAAAATATGAGAGATTATCAAAATTCGGTTCAAATAAACAAGAAAAATGGTCAACCAAAAGATAGAATAAATGACTAAATTAAGAAAAATGCTGGCTACTTTTGCACCAACATTTGTATTTGGACATTTTCACTTCTTCAAATCATACATGTTTAACCAAAAAAAAAAAAAAAAAAAAACCTTTAATGCCTTTTCAAATTTTATTTTTTATTCTTCATCATTAATTCCTCGCCATTTTTTTGTGTGTGTAATAAAATAACACGTGCCATTTAAAGAAGTGTAAATATCCAAATACAAAAATTAGTGCAAATATTGCTAGCACTCCTTGTCTGCTAATTAATAATTCGTTAGTAAATAATCAAACAAATACATAGCATGGTCGACAGAAAACCTGGAAATTATGTGAACGTCTTGATGTGACATCACATTAGGAACTTAATATTAGTCAAAGGTCAATTTGTATTAGGTTTTGTCTTTAAGAGCAGCTCCACCGGAGCAAATATTGCCCAGCACCCAGTCCAAATAACAGCCCGGCCTGCTCCAAATGTGCTCCAGCCCGCAACCTTGCCTGGCACCCAGCCCGTGCCAGTCAAGAGCCCAGCCCAAAATGGACAGACCCATTCCCCGGTCTGTTTCGGGCGCGTGCACAACACGCGGGGGGGGGGGGGCGGCGAGTAGCCGACAGGTTTGCAGGCGCGGGGGCCCGCGTGCAGGCCCAGTTGCAGCGTCCGGGTGAAGGAAACGTGGCCTCCTCAGAGCCGTTGGATTTCCAACGGCTAGTTTTTTAGGCCGTTGGATTTCCAACGGTAAAAAAAATTTAAATTTCAATTTTAAATTGGACCGTCCGATCACAGATCAACGGTCCACGTTTATTTCACCAAAAATATATAAAAAAAAAAAAAAAAATCCCCAACGGTCAGAAATTTGACCGTTGGCCACGTGGCGTAATGAGTGCTGTTGGATTTGATTATTTTTCAAATCCAACGGTCCCGATTAATTACAACATTAAAATTTATTAAAAATTAATTAAAAAATGTCAAAAATTTTTAAAAAAATACAGAAAAATTTTAAAAAATTAATTTTTTTTTTCTATAAATACCTAACACTCATCTTCCACCTTACACCACATTTCAATATTTTCTACACTTTCTACACTTTCTACATTTGAATATTTTGTACACTTTGAGAGAAAAAAATGACTTCGTGGAAGCTCAGTGAAGATGTTACGTTGTGTGAATGTTGGGTTCGCACTACTCATGACCCGATTACGGGTAATGAGATGGATAAGCGAGAAATGTGGAGTAAAATTACGAAATCGTTCAACGATGTACATGGAAAAGATGTACATGGAAAAGATGCCAGATCTAGTCAAGGTCTTCAAGGTCGTTGGAAAAAACTCAACGCATCCTTTACTTGTTGGAAAAACGCCATCTCTCATGCTTCTGGTAATTTGCGTAGTGGGACAAGTTTAGCGGATGAGGTAACAATATTTTTATTTATTTATATGCATTCCACCCACATCAATATTTTAATTTATTTAATTTCTTATATGTAATTTTTTATGTAATATGCATTCCAAATACTTATGTAATTTTTATGTAATTTTTATATAATTTTTATGCATTTGACAATTCTTATTTAATTTCTTATGTAATTTTTATGTAATATGCATTCCAAATACTTATGTAATTTTTATGTAATTTTTATATAATTTTTATGCATTCCACAATTCTTATGTAATTTTTATGTAATTTTTATAGACACTACAAGCACAAGCATTCTACAATGCAAAGAACCATAACAAATCATTCAACAAATGGGAATGTTGGCAAATTGTCAAAGATTGCCCTAGATACAAAATTGTGGCAACCGGTCCAGAAGTTGTCATGCACGGTATGGGTCTACACAGTTCGCCAGAAGCAGACACAGCCGAACAAGAAGCCAACACATTTGAAGACACGGAAGGGATGCCTGAA